TGATCACTGGCTTTGAATTCTTTTTTGTAGAATAGATCTGAGAGGAGGAACTCATTCTCTGTGCTGTGCTGAGCTGACATATAGATCTACACAGGTTTTATGAATCTTTGCAAATTTTAAAGATTGACAGTGATTTGTAAGCCTGAAAGACAATTTTCTCTCCAGGCACTAGCAAGCTAGGAAAGGCTGAAAAAATCTGCTATTGGCTGGACTTCAGGCAGCAGAAAAGGCCTGAGATTGGTTATTGCTGTTTGCAACATTGACATCACAATGGCCATGAGAGAAAAGAATTTACAGAACTCTGTTCTTCTTAAGAATTTATTTGGAAATAATTTCAAACTTAAAGAAAAGTTGCCAAATTAAAAGGTATATGAATACACAATTGTTAACTATTCACGTACTTATTGCTAAGTGAATAGTTGTTCATTTGTTGAATTGTTAACAGATTCACGATTGTTAACATTTTCCCTATTTTATTTAAAATTCGCACAATCACTTAATCTGTACATCTGGTTATGTCTGTATATACGTTCTTACACAGACAGATATGATTGTGTTCTGACCATACGTGAGTTGCATGCTTCATGGTCTTCACCCCTAAATACTTGAGATTATAGAATAAGAATTTGCTCTTACATAACCACAGTATGACTAACAATTTGAGAAATTTTAGCATTGATTTCATAGTTTTATTTATTCCACTCTTAGCATTCTAATTTTCTCAATTGATCTAATAAAGCCCATTATAGCAGGTTTTTTTCCTCTCTGTACCAGTCTAGGGTCAGCTATTGTGTCCTGTTGACATGTCTTCATGGTCTCCTTAATTCTGGAATATTTCTCCATATGGCTTTTAGCCTTCTATAACATTGACATGTTAAAATAATACAATCTTTCCCCTTTTTAATAAAATCTTCCTCATTTGAGGGCTATCTGATTTGTGTTTCCCTGTGATTGAATTCAGGTCATGTAATAGCCCTGGCCAGACTATCACATAACTGCTACGTCCTTCTCACGGTATCACATCTAGAGGCAAATCAGGCCTCAGAGGCTATGTTAATTTTATTCACCTGGTCAAGAGATTGTCTAGTTTTACCACTATATATAGTTGTGTTTTCCCCTTACAACTGATAGGCAATGTGTGAGGAAGTCCTTTAAAACTAGGCATTTTAACTTTTTCGCTTAACAATCTCTCCCAGAAATCATTCCATATCAGGTAATTGGGGTCTTGTTCATGTTTACAGCTGTATAGTGTTACAATGTGTGTATGTATCATAAGACTGTTATTCATTTTTTGCTAAGGCAACTCCCCAGCATCTCTTTGGACCAAAAATTAAGGGATCAGAAAAGTGTCAGGGAGACTGAAATTTGATATAGCTTATAGAGATGCATACAACACAATAAGATAGATATTAAAATAAATCAGGAAATGGGATGAAGGGAAAATAAAGATAGAAAAATAAAATCAAGCACAACATGGGTTAGGTTGGTACGCCAATGTCCCTAAAGTCCCCACACGCTGGGCATCTACAATGTGGTAGTTGTATATGATACACATATATGTACATATGATCTCTGATTTATTTTTTATCTCTGATCTTGCTAGGGGCCAAAGCAAAAAGGAAAGCAAGCCCTGTTATAGATTTGCAGTGTCCATAAGGAAGAAGGAACTACTGCTTAGAAGATGCACATCTTTTAAGCATGGAAGAAGCCTCTCTTATAGCTTCATATAGGGCAATGGGAAATGTACTCAATAATATTCCTGTAATGAATGAAATGGCAAGTTAGCAATTCATTGAAGAGGAGATTTAAAAAAAATTCTACAAAGGACTAAAAAAACCCTTAGTTGTCAGTTTTATGATAACCTCAGTGAATTCAAGGATGAAATTTAGACTAATGTGTGCTTTTCAAATGTTTCCACTGACATACCTCCAACAACAGAGAGCACCCCCTAAAAAAACACTTGGGGGCCCAACCCAAGACAGTCTATAGCACATATGGAATTTTGTTGACATTTCATTATTTAACTCAAAAAAAAATCATGTGAATAATTTATTTACTTCATGTAAAATAATGTTTTGACTTGCTTACTGGTGGAGGGGGTGGGATGCAGGGAGACCTTCCTAATTCCTTTAATAATTAAGATGCTGTTGCATTAAGTGTGTCTAATTCTGGAAAATGATTCAGTTGAAAAGGGCTTTCTCCTTATTAAGTGTGTTAATATTTCAAGAATCCAAATTCACATAAGTAAGTAAATATAAATGCCAACCCTTGTTCCCTCATTTTATGAGCTCTGTAAGGGTAGAAACTGAAGCCAGCACCCAGGGTGGCTCCCTGAGGCCATCAGGGGATTCTGGGTAGGAGCTTTGACTGTTCTGTGTTCCTCTCGAGAGCCCAGATCTCCAGTCACACAGCAGCTCTGTAGTCCAGGAAACTCTCAGAGCTTTTGTAGTGAAGAAAATGCACTGCATATCTTCTTTACTTCCCAGTTAATACAATAATTTTCATTCTCTGTAAGAGATTTCCAGGAAAGATGGTAATATGCATACATGGTTTTCAAAAAATAAGTCTCCCCAATAAATGCTGAAATGAGCAAAAGGAAGAAAAGCCGATGAAGAAAACTCTGTCTGCCCTTAAGTTTTAAAGGGTGCCAGACTGCATTAATTTCAGTAAGGACATTAGAAGCCTTCATCCACCTAACAGAAAACAACAACCTGGATGTGGCAATGATAAAAGACACACTCCAAGATCAAGGCAATAAATGAGACAGAAAAGGCTATTTCACCTTAGTTAGAGAAACAAGCAGGAAGACGGAACAGTTAAACTGGACATCTGCCATGTTTTTAACCATGGTGGCCTAAGTTTTTCCTAATCTGTAAAATAGGGATAAGAATAGTACGTGCTCCACAAGGTTATTTATTATGAGGATGATTTAATAGAGTGCTTCAAAAGCAGCCAGTACACAGTAAGCATACAATGAACTGTATGCTTTTACTATTTTTTGGTGTTTGGGGAGTGAAAATTCTGTCAGGAAATGCAGGTGAAAAAAAGACATTTTCAGACAAACAAAAGCTAAAAGGAACTGCTACAAGATCCTCTAAAATACATACTTCAGGCACATTATCTCAGATGAAAAGTCTAAGATACAAGTAAGAGCAAAGAACAATCTAAGTGTAAATATGTGGATTAATTCCAAATGAGCATTTACTGTATAACACAATAATAACAATGTACTGAGTAGTTTAAAAAATACATTGAATTAAAATGCACATCAACAGTAGCTAATAAATTGGAAGGGAAGTAAATATAATTAAACTATTCTGAGGCCCTCTAAGAGGAGGGTCAAGGTATTGGTTATCTGTAGATATTGATTAATTGAGTATGCATGTTTTGTTTTGTTTCTTCTAGGATAACCAACAAATGAATAAAAACAGGGTTTATTATTCTTAGATCAGAGGAGGGAAAGAAAATGAATGATAAAAATATTCAGCCAATCCAAATGACAGCATTAAAGGAGAAAAGAAAAAAACAAGTGAGACAAGGACAGACAATCTACAAATAGATGGTAGATTTAAACTGAAATAGATCATTAATTGCACTAAATGTAAATGGATTAAATGCTCCAATTAAAAGACAAAGATTATCAAAATGGTTTTTAAAATCATACTCTTTACTCTTTATAATATTAGTCAAAAGAATTCTGGTGGAACTTATTCTAGAATAAGAGGATCATTCATAATGATAAATTTTAAATGATAAAATTTGTATGTACTTAATAATAACATTCAAAATGTGCACACTGAAAACTGACAGAACTAAAAAGAGAAACAGATGATCCATAATTGTAGTGGGATAATTTAACATGGTTCTCAGTAACTGGCAGAATAAACCCACAAAAAAATCAGTAAATATGTAGAAGAGCTGAATAACACGACTTAATGAACATAAATGGAACACTGCACCCAACAACTACAAAATATACATCCTTTACAAGCACATGAACCATTTTCAAAAATTGACTTTTTACGGCAGGACGGGGCACTTTTACCCACATTTTTTCCTCTAATCAACATGAAGTTGTGAAATAGACATCTAGGCTGGAAATCTTCCCTTTGCCCCTCTGAACTTACACTGTCCCTTTCCTATCATGCCCTGTGTCCTGTGAAGCTGACCTGTACAGGGTGCATTCGTGGGCTGCTTTCCACTCTGGCTTCTGGTTGGGTTCAGCCAGGGGGAGGCAAGAGCAGAAATTGTTAGGTGAAAGGAGTGTAGAGTTGGGAATTTATTCTCCCTACCGCTCTCTGTTTCAGGGCTCCCTGTGGGGTGGTTGAGGGTGGCTGCATCTGTCTTCCACTACCCAAGTCCACTCCTGCCAGGCAGCTGCCCTCTCAAATTCCAGTACCCGTTCCTTCCCCTTGTTGCCTTTCAAGTCAAGGGGTGGTTATGGCCCTTGTTATTCTTTATCCTGGAGTTCTGTGCCATTCCCTGTGGCCTTCCTAGACCCTGCCCACACTTTTCCAACAGTCCCTTCACTGAACTCTCTTCAAATTACCCACTTAGAGTGTGTGCTCTCTGTTTCAGGGCTGTGTATTAGCAACCCTATCTGCACGCAAGGAAACAAACTCAGGAAAGTCAACGACTCACCCGAAGTCACATGCCTCCAGCTGTACCTCCTCTTGTGGTGTAGAAATAAGGACAACTTCATCCTTTGCTCACATTATCAATAACTCATTAACATGGCCCTGGAACTGCTTTTCGGCTTTAAACATAGTACATCCTGTCAGTATGTCTTGAATAAATTCAGAATGTGGGTTGCAACATGGCCTGCTTAGTTTTATAAATGTCAGAAACACTGTTTCTTCCATTTAAAGTATGTTTATTCAGCTTTTCAATTCATTTGGGGGGCATAATGCCTTTTAGAGGAAGTTGTTTAATATGGTGATGATGACTTCTGAATTTAACACCCCCATGATATTTTGTGTTCCTCCTTTGCTATTTTTCAGACCGCCATGAGGTCATCTCCAAAGAAATCTTGGAGCTAGACCCATGGGAAAACCAATGGAACATTGTAGCCGTCAATGTCCTCATGCATGACAGCTATGATGTCTGCCTGGTGGCGAGGATGAATCCCCGAGACCTCATCCCCCCGCCTTCAGATTTGGTGGAAGAAGGCAGTGAGCACTGAGGTCAGCACTGCTCTGCGGCCTCTGTTTTGTCTGCAAAGGAGGCTTTAGGAACAGAGAGCCCACAGCTTCCACCCGCACCCAGGACGTGTGTTGCATGCATAGTGGCCCATGTGAAAAAAGCAGTGTGTGCTGGGTGCTCAGTGTGTACGGTCCACCCTCAGGGACCTCCAGTTGGTGAAGATGGACAAGACACTACAAGGCTGAGTGTGACCATGGCACAAGTGCACAGGGAGGGTGCCACAGGAGTACAGGGGAAGGAGGGGCCTCGCAGTGCTGGGCACGTTACCGAACATTACCTGGGCCTCCAAGAATGAGGATGAAGCAGTCCCATGGTAAGGCCATGGAAACAGCTGAGCAAAGGCACAGAGCACGGCCAGATGGCCTGGGCCACACACTCTGCTACTGAGGCTGGAAAAGCTGGTTGTAGCTAAATGACCAATACCAGGCCGACCCAGGACTCTGGTCGTGGTCTCTGAGCACAGTCTCAAAATTGTGAGGTTAAGGGTAGATGTCTCTCTGTGCTCTGTTCTGGCCTCAGTCTTAACACTGTCCATTCACATGCAGAATATACCCTTCTACTGTGGCAGCGTTGTGCAAAGTGGAGCTAGCAGTGGGCTACAGTTTCCTAGCGGCTCTGGCACTCAGGCCCCACCGCAGTGAGAGGAGGAATGCCATCCCGGATCAGGTGCCCGTCAGGGACAGAGAAGTGGAGGTCTACCCCAGCCCTCCCTGGGGTTGGTAAGTGTCCTGGACTGGACTGCCCTTGACTGGCTCTCAGCACACACACCTCTGCAGGTTGGCCCTGGCTAAACACAACTGGCCTAGACCAGCAGCAGCTGGGGCCCTGCGTGGAGGACAGGAGGCACATCGCCTCGGCTGCCTGCTGCCTCTTGGATCCAGCCTTGGCAGTACCTTCCCCAACACTGGAGGGAAAGCATGGAGCCACCTCTTTAGCCCACAGTTGAGCATAATCAGAAAGCAGCTACTCCCAAAATGTATTTCAGAGATGACATTTAAACAGCACATGGGAAACTGCATCCATTTTACTTACTATCTATACTTCTGGAAGCACAGTGGATTCAAAGAATGCATTTGGTAGCTGTTCTTCAACAACTTCTCAAGGCTTCCACATTGCACGGCGCTCTTTTGTAAATAGGAGTGGTCAGTACATTTTCCCAGAGGGGGACAGCCTGGCTTGAGACAGCTCTCCTTTGCTGCAGAACTTCTTTGCTGGGTCTGTGGTGACCGCTAGCCCGGGTGCCCAGGTTCCAGCTGCTCCACCAGGCAGCAGAGGCAGGTCCAGATGGAAACCTGTTGCTGACTCCTTAAGGGGGGACCACTTAGACCAGCGTGGTTGTCCCCTAGCAGGCTGGATGCTAGGAGAGCAGGGACCCTGTCTCTCTGTAGCTGTGCCCTGGTGCCACCGCGGTATGTGGCACATGGGTGCACCTTGGTGTGGCCAGCGTGGGGTAGCATTTCTCCATCTGAAAGCTGCCTCTCTGAGCATGTCTAGGAATCTGAATTTCAGCAAGCTAAGCCTTCTTCCTGGTGGAGGCCATAATCTCTGCATTCTTTCCCTTGCTGCAAAATTGGAGCAGACCCTCCTGGGGGACTATGCTGGCTGGGGGCCACCAGGTCTCTGCTTCCCGCACTTCCTCGTAACAGAACCGCCACACTTGCTGGAACAAACCAGAAGCCGCCACATTTCCCTGGACCAGGCAGGCCTTCTGGGAGTGTCATGATACATCTTCTAGATGCACTGGGTACAAAATCTAGGCTCCAGCCCCCAGCTTTTCTACTTAGCTAGTGGTGTGACCGTGGACAAAATGACCTTCTCAAAAACTTATTTTCCTCAAATGCAAAATGGAAAGAAAAATGCTTCATAGGGCTGGTGTGACGACTGAGTGAGAAGGTGCCGAGCAAAGTGCCGGCTAGATTCAGAAACAGTAGACCTTCCGTAGCCGCTCTTGTTTTTATTACCGTAACCATTGAAACCAGCGTTTCTCAAAGCAGAGCGCCTCAAACAACCCGGGACTTGAGTGGAATCTCTTGGGATTTCAGGGACACAGTCCTTCATTTCCCAGAGCCAGCAGCCAGGCAGCTGCGGTGGGCATCAGATGAACAAGCGAGGCTTTGCGTCAGTATTTGCTCCGGGCTCTGGGTGCTTCCTGTCCTGCACGTTTGTAATTACAGACAAGACCCTTCCGCCCACCTCGTGTTGGATATCGTTAGAGATCCCAGTTTGAAGCCTCATTTCCCCACCCCTCCTTTTTCCACTTTAGCTGAAGGGTGTCCCGTCATCGCCCGGAGGACTCATAAAACTTAACTGTTCCCTCCTTCCAGTCTTGGGGAGGCGGGATTGCTTGACCCTGAGCAACACAGCAGGGGGATGACCAGGGCGCTTCCACTGTCAGCCTCCCCGGGGCGCAGTTTGTGTCCATCAGGAAAGCGACACTGTTCGACTTTCTAACAAGCAAATGCTTCAAATTTGAACTTACAAAATAAAGTTTTACTAATGAAGGATGGCTTGCATTTTCTCATTTGGTCGTATTTCCCAAATGCGATATAAATTTCCTCTGAGGAGGAGGTTCCTGTGCCCAGGAAGTCTGGGCATCGCCTAGGGGTGGGGGGATGAACAGCCAGGAGATGGTGGGGGGGCGGCCCTCAGAGGCCAGGACGCATGCGGTGGGCGAGGGGCAGCAGTGGCCCCACTTCCAAGGCGGCTGAAGCAAGGCAAGGAGAGGAGGCCCTTCAACAGCCACCCCACAGCCCACGCAGACGAGCAGGGTGACAGCAGACACGGGCAGGCCCGTGTCAGTGACAGCTCGCGGGACCCCAAGTCGGGGAAGCCAAGGTGGCCTCCGCAGCTCCGCAGTGCGGGTTGGAACAGCGCACCCGGTGCAGCGGGAAGTGTAGGGTGCCTGCGGGGTGCTGGCCGGTTCACAGGGCAGAGAGATGCCAGTTCTTCCACAAGAGAACAGCCAGTTGGCCAAAAGCAAAAACCAGAAAAATCTCTCAAGGGGTGCGCCCCCTCCACCAGGGTTCCTTAGAGAGCCCACCAGCGGGGTGGCCCTGCTGCTCACACCAGGCCCGACTGGGGGGCACCAGGAGAAAGGCGAGGCATCGGGGTGCAGTCAAGTCACCCCACTTGTCTGCCAGCCTCAGCCGACCCTGGCTGTGCCCCCAGCTATGCCTGTACGTCTCATTCCCAGCCCCAAGGACTCTGCCCCACTCATGGGTAAATCCTGCCAAGCACGAAGCAGCCCCAGAACCCTGCTCCTTTCTCCATGGTTAGTTTAATGCGGCCTTATGGCACAGTTCTGGCCAGAGGCATAGAGGGAAGTCCACAGAGGGCTCTTAGGAAAGGTTTCTTGCTCGTTAAGAGGTGTCGGGGGAGAGATGGACTCTTTTTCCCATGCGTCTTTTGAAATCTGCAAGTGCCCTGGAACGGTGGCCAACTTCCTGCCATGAGGAGGAACGAGACCCAGAAGGCTGCTGTTGGTCCCCTGCCTATCCCTAGTCATCCCCAAGGGGGTGGGATAGGGGACAGAAAGAGCCAGGTCCTGGGGACATTCTTGAGCCACCGGGTGAGCCAGCACAGGATTTGCTAGGCTCTAACCGGCCCAATGAGTTTCCCTCATGCTCGGGCTCCTTGAAGTACTTGCAGCCACAGATCTCCTGATACTCCTTCCCCTGCCAAAGCCACACCTGGTCCCCCTGCCAAAAGAGAGGCCGCGGACAGTCCTGGTCCCTGGGGCAGCTAGGGACAAGGTGGTGCAGTTCACCGCAGGGAGGTGAGTTGTGCATGCCTGGCTGATGGTTTATAATCTTGAGTCACTTCTTAGCTATTTCTCTCTCAGTAGTTCAACACTTATTTTCTGAAAATCCCACCAAACACCCATTTTTGTAAGTAAAATTCTATGGGAACACAGTCACAATCATCATGTATGGATCACCTCCGGCTGCTTCGGCATCACAGCGGCAGAGTAAGGGGGTCACAGGAGCACTGCGCTTGTCCAACCTCTGCTTGTCAGTAGGGTGGTTGTAAATGATACCTTCTTGTTATTGTGATCTTCACTTCTCTAATTAAGGAGGCTGGATCTTTTTAAAAAAATTTCTCTAAATGGACATCGGTAATAGATTTGCTAAATAAATAACCATTGTGCCACTTAATGGATTACTATAAACTGGTTTAAAAAATGAAGTTAATGTGCACATGCCAACTAAGATCACCAAGTGGGGAAATCAGGGTCAGGACAGACCAAATGGTGGGGCATCCAGGTACTAGTGTAAGCAGACCACTGACCCCATGCAGAACATGACCAGCTGTCAGCAGTGATCATCTCAGCTGGGGTCGAATTATAGGGCATTTTGCACCAACTATACCTAAGTGGTTTCCAATCTTTACATGCATGACTTTTCAATCAGGAAAAAAGGAATTAAGGTATGAGCACACATACCTTCTAATCAGCACCCCTCCCCACCAAAAAGAGTTTTCTGTCTCAGAACAGCTGGCGGGCCCCACCCTCCTGCCTTCTCCCACTCTCCCACCCGCAGGCCAAGGAGCGGGCACTTGGAGGCGCCGAGGGCTCCCAGCTCGCCACCCTGCCTATGAGCAGCTAGGATGCCGCACAGCAAGCCCCAGGCCAGGCAGAGGCCAGGCTGCTTGGGCAGTGCTTTGAGGGCTGCCAGTTCCCGTCCTAGCCCCCACCCCTGGCTGTGCGGCCGTAGCACTCCCCTGCCCCCTCTCCCAGCCTTCATGTCCTTTCCTGGATGATGGCACTAAGAATTCCTGCCTCAATTGCAAGGATGCTGGAGGATGGACTGAGGCAGTGTGTGTACCACCCTTGGGCCCGGGGGCAGCATTGCTTGACCCCAGGGAGTTGCCCTGCCAGCTGACACACGGAGCACTGGACACTGTTTCTCCTCGCAACCCTCCAGGGCCGTGTCCTGCACCACCCCACTCTGCCAGTTACTCTGTGACCCGGAACCTTTAGTGCCTCTGTTTCCCCTTTTGCAACAAATGGATGAAACTAACCTGTTTCGGGATTGCTGTGCAGGCCAGGCCCGTGGGGAGTGATGAAGAGGCTAGAGCAGCAGCCGGTGCCCTTTGTCATGATTTCTCCACCTCCACACTTACGACATCAAGATGTCCTCGTTCTGGCCACACGCACTTGTTGGGCATCTGCCAAGGTCCAGGCTGTGCTCTAGAAAATTCCCTCTCTAGTCTCTTCCAAACACAGAAGACTAAGCAAGATGGAAAAATACTAACAACAGTAAGGTAATCATTAACCCAGAGAAACTGAATTGCTGTGTCAGAGGAAATTAACCGTGGGTCACTACATGCTCAGCCAGGACTGGTGTTTACTCCCGCTTATAATATAAACTCTAAGCCAGAATTAACAACTGAAAGGAGAGGATGGAGGGAGAGTTGGCCAGGGNCCAGGCTGCTTGGGCAGTGCTTTGAGGGCTGCCAGTTCCCGTCCTAGCCCCCACCCCTGGCTGTGCGGCCGTAGCACTCCCCTGCCCCCTCTCCCAGCCTTCATGTCCTTTCCTGGATGATGGCACTAAGAATTCCTGCCTCAATTGCAAGGACGCTGGAGGATGGACTGAGGCAGTGTGTGTACCACCCTTGGGCCCGGGGGCAGCATTGCTTGACCCCAGGGAGTTGCCCTGCCAGCTGACACACGGAGCACTGGACACTGTTTCTCCTCGCAACCCTCCAGGGCCGTGTCCTGCACCACCCCACTCTGCCAGTTACTCTGTGACCCGGAACCTTTAGTGCCTCTGTTTCCCCTTTTGCAACAAATGGATGAAACTAACCTGTTTCGGGATTGCTGTGCAGGCCAGGCCCGTGGGGAGTGATGAAGAGGCTAGAGCAGCAGCCGGTGCCCTTTGTCATGATTTCTCCACCTCCACACTTACGACATCAAGATGTCCTCGTTCTGGCCACACGCACTTGTTGGGCATCTGCCAAGGTCCAGGCTGTGCTCTAGAAAATTCCCTCTCTAGTCTCTTCCAAACACAGAAGACTAAGCAAGATGGAAAAATACTAACAACAGTAAGGTAATCATTAACCCAGAGAAACTGAATTGCTGTGTCAGAGGAAATTAACCGTGGGTCACTACATGCTCAGCCAGGACTGGTGTTTACTCCCGCTTATAATATAAACTCTAAGCCAGAATTAACAACTGAAAGGAGAGGATGGAGGGAGAGTTGGCCAGGGTCCTGGTTGAGGATGAGGACAAAGGTTGGGTCAACAAGCAGGTGCCCTCAGTGTGCCTAACGTGGCTTCCTGTTACTGCTGGAAAGACCTTGGACGCCTGAGCCTCCAGTGGAGCCTGGGGGTGGGCCTCAGGTCTCAGGAGCTAACGGGCCAGCAGGTTTGGGTCATCTGAGCCAGCAGCGCTTGGAGCTGGCCCTGATGCCCCTCACCCACCAAAGGGCAACTCCAGGCCCCTATGCAAGGCCACCCAGGAGCTGGTGGCAGAACAGGGCACAAATCCACACAGCTGAGCAGGGCTAGTGCGCTCTCCCTGGCCCGCTCCCCCTGCTCTGGTGGGTCTGCTAAATAAGTCACAGGCTTGCATGCAGCGGGATGCCTTGCTTCCTGAGGACAGGAAGCAGCTTTGGCTGTGTCCCTCTGGGCCTCTCTGAGCCTCTATTGCCCCCTCTGCAAAGTGGGGATATAGTAGGATGTACTTCTTGGAATATGGGGTGAGAAGTATGAATACAGATAAAGCACCTAGGGGAGTATTGGCATGCAAAAAGGTTAGGGGTCAGATTATCATGATTCTCCCTGGACTGAGAAGGGACACCCTCTGTGGTACAATGTTGAATGAAAAGGCAGGACAGAGAACTAAGTACATAACCTGATTCCATCTGTGGGATGTGAACAAGGTCGTGAACCCATTTGCACAGACACACACACCCATGTGCATACACACATAAAATATGTGCATGTCCATGTAGATGTTGTAGATGTGTTTATGCATTTATATGAGTGAGCATATATCTTCTGTGTGTGTACATACAGGGGTATGGGTATATGTGTGTGAGAGTGTGTGTAAGTGTGGGTATGGCTGTATAAGTGTATGCATGTGTATGTATGTATGTGTGTTTGTGTATGGTGTGGGCAGTGCATTGTAAGGGTAAATACAAGTCTATAAAGAAAAGAAATGAATCTTATCTGGTACAAAAAAAGGGAAATGATACCCTCTCCCCGACTTTAGCATTTCCTTTAGAAAAGCTGAAATGGTGAAAGCTATCCCTGTCTCTTTGAGATGTATGGAAATCTGTTTTAAAAGCTAAGTGAGGCTCCTGCTAGTTTTGCATCCAGGACTGGTTTTCTCAGAGCCCAAAGGGCCTTCTCTAAAACATAAGCCCCGGAAGGTGCATCCTGCCTCCCCTATCCTGCCTCCCCTCTCCTAAGGGGTTTCAAGCCATGGCCCCAAGGTACCAACTGCCTGCTTATCGAAGGATAGATGTTTCCTTTTCCTTTGGCTGAAGGCACCTCCCAC